TGTCTAATTTATTGATTTGTGGTCAAAGAATGCAATCTAGATACTTTTGTTTTAATATGTGGAGGTTTTTTAGAGTAACCAGAATAGGATCAAAGCTTTAAGATATATTCTGTTTGTGGTTTATAGTTTATCATTATAAAAAGTCTATAAATATCTAATAAATTGAATTAATAATCATGTTTTTGCTTACTTGAACTGATAGCAGACTGTTAAATATTAATGGAGCTGTTTTTGTCTTATTCCTAACAGTTTTTCCTTATCTGTTTTGAAGATATATTTGTCAATATTGCCACTATTTTGGTTTTTTAATTTCTGAAGTTAATTGCCCTTATTCCATGCTTTGGAAGTTTATCAGGATTTTCTTAGAAATGTGATGATCAGATACTTTGTGGGGTTTTTTACAGGGGAAAAAATTCAATCTGGAATCTAAAATGTTCTTGCTGGGATCTTCAGACCATTAGTTTCATGATTGCTTGCATATATTTGCCTTTTTGTTCAGATGTTTGAGGAAGAGTCCCACTACCACTGTGCCCTGATACTCAACCTCCAAAAGTCACCTTTTACTGGGACATGGAATTTTACTGCCTGCAGTGAACGCCACTCTGTATCTCTCTGTCAGAAATATTCAGGTATCAATTATTACTTTGATAATTATGGTACTTGATGATGTTAGATATACATAGTTCTTCACTATAAAAATGTTATAGGATGGGCACAGTGGCTCACACCTGTAATCCTAGTACTTTCAGAAGCTGAGGTACAGGCCGGGCGCGGTGGCTCATTCGTATAATCCTAGCACTCTAGGAGGCTGAGGCGGGAGGATCACTCGAGGTCAGAAGTTCAAGAGAAGCTGAGGTGGGAGGATCACTTGAGGCCAGGAATTTGAGACCAGCCTGGGCAACATAACAAGACAATCTCTACAAAAAAATGTTTAAATTGGTTTGGCATAGTAGCATGCACCTGTAGCCCCAGCTACTTGGGAGGCTGAGACAGCAGGATTGCTTGGGCCCAGGAGTTCGAGGCTGCAGTGAGCTATGATAGTACCAGTAGGCTCTAGCCTGGGTGACAGAGCAAGAACCTGTCTCAAAAAAAATAATAATAATCTTATAAATGAATTCAGATTAATTTAT